GTCTTCCAACAAAGACAATGTGAGAAGACAACTCTCAGCCCGCAGCGTGTGGCCATTCGGGGGCTTGACGCTCTTGGGTCTGTACCGTCGGCTACTAGGTGCCTGCGGAAAATGTGTTGCTGGCTTTAGCATATCGGAATGTGAAAGCGGATTCGAAGCATCCCCCAGTACCCGACTCACAAGAGGGGACGATCATAAATATGTACATTCATATAATACTTAATATATATAAATATATATATATATATATATATATACATATAAATATATGATATTATATGTATGTATATATATATATATACATATTTATTTATCCGCCGACCCCCTTTGTCGGCGTCAAGAAGGTGGACTCGTACCTTGCCTGCCCTTTCAAAAAACAACCAATTTTGTCCCCATGGCCCCACAGGGCTCGGCAGCCCTTCCCTACCTCTACCCCTGCCCCTAGCCAACACCCCCCCCCCCCCGTTTCCTGCCGGTGCAAACCGTCCCAACCCTCCTTGCCCCTTCCCCATGGCCCCACAGGCCGAAGCGCACAAAAACAACCAATTTTGTCATTTCAACGACCGCCAAGCGGGGCTTCTACTCCTGCAAGTTAACCCGCCCCACCCCCCGCCAACCCCCCCTTCTTCTGCATGCGTTGACAGGCCGAACCCGAAAAAAACATTCTTTGCCCTGTGACCCGGCTACCCCAACAAGGGGGCCTAGGCCAGTCTTAAGCCTACATCGTTAACTAAACCTTGCTATTCCTACGTTGCCTCGGCGGGGCTGGTGATAGGTCCATGTTCGAAGGACCAGCTGATAGCTCCATAGCATGCAAGGTCAAAGGTCGTGTTGAAGTCAGTCGTCGCAATCTCGTCGCCGTCGGCTGGCCTCTTGCGGGTTGAACCTTGGAGCCTGTTGTTCGCAGGGCGTAGCCCTGGGACCTTTGCTCAACCTTTCCTCAAACCTGTCAGCGCGTCCTGAACCCCAAAGCCCTTGCACGACCGGCCGCTGCCCGACTCCCCTTACCTTGGGGGTCGGCGGCAGTGGCGTCAGCCCTTAATCGGGCAGCGCTTCGCTGCCCTGTATGGACTGAGCTATGGCTCAGACGAATGAGCTTCGTCTGCGAAGCAGAAGCCACGACCGACAGTGCCGCCGACCCGCCCCGAACCCCGCATCATCGGACCCTCGTTTCTCCCTCGGGGCCTGGCCCGAAGGCGTCTCGGAACGCGCACGCGTTTTGCAGCCATTCCCCGCGGTGTGGCGGGTTTCGGGGCCGCCGTGGACGACGCCAGGAGGCGAGCCGGCGAGCATCATGAGCCCTCGGGCGCCCGCAACCGGCGCCGGCGGCGCGACGTGGGCGCGAAGTCATAACTCCCAAGTTTTTGAGTGGGTTGCGGAAGCCGCCAAAGGGCGCGCATCATGAGCATCAGCGGGGTCCGGCGGACGGGGGGTGCGGGCTACATGCAGGGCCGACGGGGGCTGAGAGCCTACGATCACCCACAAGTTGCGCACTTCGGGCCTACGATGCACTTATCTATATACCGCGGGTTTCTGACAACAGCTCGCGCTGCCCGCACCTGGGCGCAGCCCCTAAATATGCATATGCATGTATGTGCACATCATCGTCATGACAATCCGCCGAGGTGGGGGGACGGGGCGTCGAGATTAGATCCAGGTGAAATCAGGTGCAAGGAACCGTTGCATTCTACTCAAGATTACCCAAGGGTAGGAGCACCTGTGATATCTTTTTTTGACGGTTCTGTTGCTGGTTTTTTTCAGGATTTTGGGCTCGGGCCGAATACTTTGGATGCGATGGATTTTGTCCCCAAACCCCCGCCCCCACATCCACCCCCTCCTCCCCACGCTCCCCCTTTTACCCTCCCACCCTCCCTTCCTGTCGCTTTGCTTTCTGCCTCTGCAACCTGCCCCCACCCTGCTTCTCTGCCCTGCTTTTCCACCCCCAGCTCGTCTACGCTTCTTTGCTGGGTTCTTTTTCGTTCCTTCCCTCTGCTACGCTTGCTTCCTGCCCTGCGTCTTTGCCCTCCCTGCCCCCCCTGCCCCTTTTTGCTGCATGACTGCACCGGAGATTTAAGCACTCAGTCCCAAACCCTGGCATTGGAGAAGATTCTACTTGTCTGCATCAGGCACACATAACGGAACTCGGAAACGGCTCCGAGGCGGCTCTCGCGCAAGCGGATGAATTAAAGGACCATGTATAAGCCCATGAGGTGCTCTTCGGGCCTCGGCTTCCAGCTTGGGGTTGTAGGCCACCTGCAGCTGGAAACCCACAGGCCGGCAGGATCTCCAGAAAAGAAAAGAGATCGCCAGGCCAAGGCGGTGCAGAAATGCATGAAGAAGAAGGCCTTGTCCATGTACGCATAGTCTATTTGGATCTTGATACCTGCAGGAGGCAAGAAATCTCGAGAGTCTTCCAATTCCTGCTTGGGGCCGTGCCCATAAAGTCGTCGCCCTGCTTCTTCATCGCTTCGTCCACGTTCCTCGTGTCCTCAAACCTCTACAAGAGACTCAAGAGACCGTGCCTTGCAACATTCGCATGTTCCCAGCTGACAGCAAATTCTCAACAAGCACCAGGATCCCAACTGCACATGCGCAAAATAACCACGCACATGGCGTTCACTGCATCTGACCTGCGCAAGCGGTGAATCACGTAGACATCCCCTAGTCCATGGCACCCATCGGGCTATGACTGCTGTGTCATGCAATGGCAGCATACGCAACGAAGCACAAAACAGCTTGATAGGGTCTGTTGCGATTTGGATGCAAACAGCCTCCACGATCTTGCCGCAGTCCTTGAAGAAGTCTTGAAGCTCCTGAGGACAGTCGCAGAACAGCGATCCACCAACAAATTCGGGTTCCGCTGTGAAATCTTGAAGACCGGCCTCCTCCTCGGGCTTCTTGTCCACCCAACCGACCCAGATGGTCTTACAACCTTGTACCAAAAACACCCCAAAGGAAAGCAGGAGACTGCGGGAGAGCTCAAGAAGTCGGGCTCCGGGCCTTCAGGCTTCCTCAGCTAAACGGGATACGGAAGATACTTCTCCACACTCCCGTCCCATGCATACTACTAGGAAGGCGCCTTTTCGCCCTTTGTTGAAAGCCGAGGCTCTTTGGCCGGTGCGGTCCTCGACCTGAAGTCTCCCGACTAGATCTTCATGAATCCAAGCTTTTCTGCATCTCTACATGTAGTCACCGATTTGGGGTTTATACGTAGACATGCATAGAAAGAAAGAAGAACGGAGAGATTGTTGTTCTTTGATGTGTTGTACCTGATTCTGAGGCAGTGGGTAAAAGGCGGTCAGGGTGCGCTGCAGAAAGTTGAAAGCCGAGGCACTTGAAGGCATCTCTTCTCGAAGCCGCACGTGTTCCCGAGTACGACTGCTTTGCTGTGCGTATGCGACAAGAGCGCTGAATGGCAGTCTAAGCCCGAAGCCTTGTAAGCCTTAAGTGTTTCCCTGCTCAATCGTACGAACTCCTGATTCTCCAGTGAAATGGCCGGACTCCCTGTGTCTTGTTACTACTCGTGAAAATTACTTCCAATCACCACGATTTGTCCTGGGCTTCAGACGCCCTCCGCCGTCGTCACGACTTCGGCTACGAGGTCGCCTTCGACCACGGCTTCCTTGGCAGTTCTTCTGACAAATAAAGATACGTTTTTGAGTTTAGAGTTTGCATGAAAAACTGAATAATTACTCATCGTGCACACGCGTGGTACGTGCCTACACTGTCTACACCACAGCTTGCAATGTTCCGAACATCGAATAGAGCGACACATGCCTGGGCTAAGGAGCCTGCTCCTTCGAGCACCGCTGCGGCTGCGTGGCGAACGCGCGGGTCGGCTTCGATCCCTGGGATGTCTCACACGCACCACAGCGGTCGGGCAACTGGGGCAACACTATCACTGGCCTCGCCTGCTTTTGCCGGCTCCCGATCTGGACTTCTTCCGTCTGCGTGCCGGCGAGCGCGGAGGCGGCGATCGGGGCCTCGGCAGACAGCGGCGGCCCCAGCAACTGAACGCGCCAGAAGGCACCAAGCAGCTGGCGGAGACCTTTTGGCCGATCCAGAGCGCGACCGCGCGGGGGCTGAAGCTGAACGAGGCCGACTCCTTCGCGCTTGCCCTTGCTGATCCCTCAAAGCCGCGACTCACAAGATGCCAGGGCCTCAGTTTCTGTCGATTCTCAGAGCGCTTGCGCCGCCGCCGGCGCTCGGGCGATCGCTTCGGCTCGGAGCGCCGATCAGGGCCTGAGCGTGTCAAAGCAGGCAAGGGCAGGGCAACGTTGATCAGGCAGACAATCAAAGAGGCCCCGTTGCTTTTCGCAGACCAAAGGCTATCTTGCACGAAGCGCAGCAAGTCTCTCAGCTTGTGACTGGCCCGGCTCTTGCTGCGGCTCCGGGAGTGGCGCCTTACAGCATTAGATCGGAAATAGAAGCAAGAAATACTCACTGAGCAGTGCGACAAGGCTGGCACACTTCTAAGCCTAAGCTCCGAACGCCATGATGGCCAATCAAAACGGGCTGCGGCTGTCCGAATCGGACCCTGCTCTTGCAAAGTCTAACTGAGGTTGAGTTGTGTTTTGGCTTCGGGTTACGGCTCTATGATGGCGGATCTGCAGTCGGCTGGGTTATTGGGTGGCCATAATCTGTGCACGCATCCTAGAGCTCGGCCAGCCCTATCTTCCCCCATGAGGGCAGCTTGAGCCGTTGGTTCAAGGCCGTGTGCCCTCCCATTGCCAAATCGGGCATCTTGCCAAGCATGGAAGTCGCCAAGCATGGGCTTCGATCGGGAGCAGCATCGCACCAGCGGCATTTTCAAAAGGCACCGAAGTTGAGTTCTCTTCTAGCCGACGGCCTGAGAGAGTCAGGCATGCGGGTGCACACCGCATGGACACGCAGTGCAGCACTCCAACTGCTGAAGCACGAGTGCCTATTCTTGTTTTAGCTGGGCCTGGCCTGCGTGCCGAGCCCGAATGGCGTGCAGATGTTCGGCGCGCCTCACGTTTCTAGAGCCAGCAGAGCACAGTGAGAGCCCATGGATTCATGGAGTCCTGCAGTCTCGACCCTGGACTGAAAGCTGAAGCGGGTGCAGCAGACCTGCACACAAGGCATCGGAGATCTCTGCCGTGCCGTCTGTTCAGGAATAAAGCCTTGGAATGCAATGAAAGCAAAGCATTCCGTGGCCTGCCATGCTCGCTGGCTTGCGGTGAATTAGGTGCCTGCCGAGCCATGCCGAACCGCGATGCTCTCATTCAAAAAGGCACGTTATTATGTCAACTACAATCAACGGAATGGGTGAGGACGTAAAGCCAAGGCCCCGGCATCCACGAAGCTGACACCGAACTGGCAAGCAGAAACCAGCAAACAGAGGCTTTCCGGATACTGCCATGCGAACTTCATATAGAGGCCCCAAAACGAAGCAATCTCTTATTGGAACACAAACACCTCCTCCTCTTCCGGCATGGTCTCCGAAATTGTGGCCATCACCTCCTGACAGCGAGTGCCACGAAGTCGAAGCATCTCAATAGAGTCGAGAGCTGCGAGCGCGTTTAAAGGTCAAAGATTACCATGGCCAGAGCACCGACTTGACTTGCGACATGCCGACACGCCTCGCGAAGTCGAGCCGCCTCCTCGGCCAGCACCTGGTGCTCGAAGTGGAGCTGATCCAACTCCACCTTTGCACGTGAAGATTCTTCCCCCTCCCCCTCCAGGGGGCTCACCGCAAAACTGCCAGCCTGCTGCAGTTTTATGACGCGCCGTTGCTCAACAAGTCTGGAGGCTAGCACTTCGTCGACCTGACCGTGTTTGACGAAGGATAAAGCACAGACCATCGAGGCCAGGGACGAAATGAGAAAGCGCTTTTCGAGCTGCTGGCAAGACCCGATTGCTGCACAGCCTCGACAATGCGCTCAAGCTTCAGAGAGGGAAGTGCACGGAGCGCACGGGCTGTGCCTCCAGCTCCAATTGGGACTCAAGGTCGTCCAAGCAACGGCTCAGTCGACGCTCGGCTAGTGAGAGCTTGTAGCAGCCCTGCAGACTATGCCGAATGCTCAAGACCCCACCGAGTGAGAAATGATGAAGGCATTGGGAAGTGTTGTAAGCGTCTTGAAGCATCGCGGACACTTCAGTCTATCACACTCATGAAGATGGCGGCAGCCTCCTCGAAATCGCGAATGCGGAGCTCAAGACCGTCCAAGAAAAGAAACACCTGACCGGTTTGCAACAAAAAGCACAACAAGTGACGCAAGATTCTTTCAGTGTGAACCAACCGCACAGCACGAGCGGAGATCTTTTTGCACGCACTTAGCCACCCTCGATCTGCGAAATGATGCCAAAAAGCGTCTCATCCAGCACGTGCTTTGCATTGCCTCTGCGTCGCCACTGCAAGCTTCTCGAGCCAAAGTGTCCAGACCTGAGGCTGCAGCTGGGCCCCTGTGCACGGCCAGTGTCACCCGGCAACATAGCGGAGGCCACATCCAAGGCGTGCCTGGCAGTCAGGCAAAAGCGAGAGTGGGAGCGTGCGAGGATGCACTCGGAAGCCTCCTCACGGCAGCTGCTTCGGCTGGCTGGCAAAGGTCGAGGCATTGAGCCTCAGAAGGCGATGGGATACAAAGCTCCTCGGCCTCTATGACATTCTACGACCCTATGGAACAGTGCGCATCTGAACACATTCCGCCTTGAGTCGAAGAAGCTCTGCGGCTTCCACCGTCAGCGTCGCCTCACAAAGCGTCTGCAACACCAACTTCGCCTTACCCCCGGAACGAGAACCCTGAGACACAGTGCTCTGTCATGCAAGCCTCACCCAGCGCTCGTTGTAGCGATCGGAGCCTCCGGGGTACTTTATTCGGGCGATGCCAACATCGCCGCACATGAGCCTGCAATCTGCAGCTGCGACAAGTTCTTCTGGTTGAAGCTGAAGGAAAGCCACTTGAGCCTCCACACGTGGTTCCATGCTGCCCACATCTGCTAACCTATGCAAAACAAGTGCCTGACAAGCGCGCTGCAGCTCGTCGTCCATGCCACTCGTCTTGAGCAGCAGGAGCCCAGCCTGACCCAGTGCTTAAAAGACCAAGTGGCTGGCTACTCCGTTCGTCTCTTGTTCTTTCCAGTCCCGTTGGGGCGGTCTCCTTGAATTTATCCCATGTTCTAGTCACTAGTCAGTCCCTTTCAGGCGGTGCGCTCTCTTCTCAAAATTTCGAATCCCTTTCGAAAGGTTCGCTCTCATCTTTCTCCAGCACATTCGAACGATTTGCTATGGTTTCTCAACTTTTTCACTCCTCGCTTCCTGGTTCTCAGACTCTCTCATCCTTTTCAAGCGGCTTGCTCCTCTACGGCCTAGCCCCTTTCGAGAGGCCTACTTATGGTTCTCAAACGACCCAATCCAGGTGGAGCAGCTGATTCCTCGTCCTTTCCGCGCGAACTGCTGGTGTTGCTCCAAGTTTCTTGTCGCCTGTCCATTTTGAACGGTTTCTTCCCTTTCGAGTCTCTTATCAAGTTCAGGAGGGCATTCTGTGGCAGAGCGGGTCTCTGATGTGACGACGGAACGATGCGAAGGTCAAGCAAAAAGACTGCTGCTACTGAGATACTGCGGTCCACATTTCGCCCGATATCTTTACGTACAGTACAGCCCTCCCGAACAGATGAACAGATGAGCCTGAGGGTTCGACGCAACTTCGCAGATGGCGACACACGACCCCCACAACAGACAGCCGGCCCCACACGGGCCGGACTGAGACCTTCTGTCTAGCCTTCTACAACTCGTAGCAAACAGGCCAAGGTGGGATATCCCATCGGTTTCTGTGGATCTGGGCTTGAGTTCATGGCACCAGACAGAAAGGCGTGTGCTCGGGTGGTGGATGCCACTCAATGCAAGGGAATGCGAAGAGGAAGGCGCAGGCGACAACTGGACATGCCGTGACATACCCCACACAACCTCCAGAGCCGCACCGGCTGCATCGGCCGTGAGCCAGTGTGCCTGAAAGCAGTCGTCGGGCCGATGGCTCAATGCGACGAAACAGGACTCGACATGTTGCAGATGCCCCATGACACCCCTGCGCCTCCGAAGGGACTTCAGGATCATGTTGCCTGCTTACCAACTCTCGGTGCAGAAGAACTGCAGCCGCTAGGTCATCGCTGAGGGCCTGGGCCATCTTTCCACTCTGTTGACACGTCTGCCAAGACCCGCCAAGGACAAGGCCCTGCCTCGGCATCTGTCGGCCTCGGCCCTCTGCGATCCCGGAGCTCCTCGTCGCGTTCTTGGCACAAAAGCCGCTGCCGCCAGCCAAGACGTCCTCTCCTCTCCCAGCCTCGAGCTGCTCCTCGGGCGGCATGCCGAGCTCTTCGCTCATCTCTTCCAGCGCAGACACAGAGAGCGCCGGAGCTCCACCCGGATGCAAGAAGCCCCGAAGTAGCGCCCGCCCCTCAGCACCTCGGCACCTGCAGAACAGCACGACTGACAGCTGTTCAAAAGAACCTGCCCAAACCCCACTCTTTCTTCTCCGCAGAAACACTAAACTTTTGAGGCAGGGCTCCAGGCAGGCAGCCGGCGGTGCACTCGGGCCTCGCAGCGCTGCAAACGGACCTTTCACTGAGGTGGCGCTTGACATGCCGAGCCACCCAAAGCTGCTCCAAGTTTGCCATCTTCTCGGCCTCCGAACTGAAAGTGGTATGACGTGGAATGACTGAATGACCACTGCAAGCTCTCAACTCTTGCTCTTAACTTTTGGCTTCATGGACAGGGGTTCTCGGAGGAATCGCAGTCCCTGCCGACCAACTGTTTCGGTGCTCTGTTGATGCTCTCCACTCTCAAGATGGATGGACGACAAGAGGAGGGTCTCAAACATAAGCGAGACAGAGAGCGAGAGAGACACAGACACAGACCATGACATGGAGAACAGATCCGAGATTGTTTCGTCTCGAACTTCCGAGCTTGTCCGCATAAACATTCTGCTCATCCCCAGGTCTTTTACCCTCTGTTTTATTGTCAGTGCACGTCGACTGACCATCCTTGTTCTTGGTCAAAGGATCGACAACACCCGGCATTCTACTCTGGGAGCATGCCGAGTCATGTTGATTGTGCCTCAGCTTCGTGTCCGCAGGCTGCACAAGCTGCCCAGCCATCCAGTTCTGCGGTGGCGCCACCGAGCTGTACCTTCACGCAGCAGATACAGAAGGTCACATGCCTGGCTTTAACCGAGAGCTAAATGCCGAGCATCGATACATATCGATACTTGTAGCTCTGAGAAGACAGACACTTATGTTTTCCGCCGTCATGTGCACACGAACCTCAGCGGCGTCGTGTGGGCCAAGCTTTGGTCGCCTCTGCAAGTGCTTCGCACTACGCTTGACGCGCATCGTCTTAGTCCGGCAGGGTGCGGCTGTGCCTCGCCACGGACCTCCGGCCTCTGCCAGGGCCAGAGCGGCCAGGGCCAGGGCTGGAGCCAGGCAGGAGCTTTTGAGGAAGGGGTCTGGGCAGCAGCTTGTTGTCGTGGCCTGTCAGGAAGCGGAATCGGCCGGGACCTCCTTCGGGAAGCAGAAGCCGGTCGTGACCGGAGAGCCACTGTCGAATGTTGTCGGCATCCAGGGCCAAAGCATCGTCGGGCTCCAGTGCCTCCAGCTCTGCCCGGAGCCTTTTCTGCCGCTTCTTTTGAAAGCGCACGGAGCAGTGGAAGCACAAGCGCAGCACGTTCTGCCATGAGGACGCCATCGGCTGCACACCGAGCTCTTTCAACTCGAGGGCTGAATTCATCATCCTCTCGTTCAGCCTTACCAGGGCAGGATGTGTCTCTGCTCGCTTCATTTCTTCTAGAACCAGGTAGGCGTTCTCAGACTGGTGTCTGTGCGACAGGATGTATCCATGCAGGAGCAGTGTGTAGGCGGTCTCGTCGTAGGGAATTGCACGGTCTTTCAACTCCCAGAAATAACGCTCCCAAAGGCTCCAGTCAAAGTAGCACATGGAGTGAAAAATCTTGCGATAGATCTTCTTTCTCAGCTCTTTGACCTGGTCGTCGGTCAAAGCTTCACCGGGCTGCGGTTCTGCCGGAGGATTCGGGGGCCATCGAAAGTTTGGATCTCCCACCGGCTTGGCAGCGGAGCTCTCGTCGTAAGGCCACTGGGGCCACACAGTCACACATCGGGATTGAACTGAGAATCGAGCCAGAGGCCTGAGACGGGTCCAGCGCTGCATCGAGGACAGGCAGTGCGGTCTTGTCACTTCTCTTTCATCTGCGGAACTAATGGTTCAGCATGGCTCAGCAGCTCTGGAGCCAGAACGGCTGAAGCCAGAAGTCGGATAGATGTGCGTCGGGAACTGGTCAACATTTTGTTGGATGTGTTCTGTTTGCCTGTGTTTTTGTGCGGGGCATCCGTTCGCTTTGGTTGTGTAATGGCGCATCCTACCTCTGCAAAACCGGCACGGTGTCCACCTGTCCAGATGTAGTTTGTTGTTGGGAGAGATCGCATGAAATCGCGCTGCAGCTCGCACGGAAATGCAGGAGGCGCACATACCGGCTCCGGAAGCCAATGAGGCCATCCCGACCTCATCGTCGCTGCGGCACCACATACACACGGCACACACGGCACAAGATATGCTGTTTCGATTGTTTATCGTAAGGACCCGATCGCCCCATTTGCTGATCAGAAAACGAGGTGAACTACCCCGACCTTCAACACACGACCTTGTCTTAAGCAGTGTCTCTGTGGAAGCAACTCATCAAACAGCCGGGGAGCGAACATGAGGGACACGTGTAAGTTCGTCGGTCATCGGGCATCGTGCATCTGGAACCATGGTGACATAGTGTGCCAACACGAAGGGCAAATGGTGCTGCAGGGCTGTGCCTTTGGCACGTGCACAGGAAGCCCCACGTCTGACTCAGCAGCTTCCTAGCACGACTCCGGCTGATTGAAGCGACAAAAACGTAGTTACCCAAAGCATCTCCCTGCCTGCGGATGGACGAAGGCTCGAGGAGATCTGACTCTGACAAGTACGACCTGTGCTGCAGGGCTTCAGAAGCGTTTTCCTGAAACGTGAAAAGAGCAGCTGAGCTCGAGGCACTGTGACCTCCTCGCCAGCTGAAATGCTGGTCAAGGCAACAATCCTCACTCGACGTGTCGAGGCGAGCCCACCGAGCGGAAATCACCGAGAGGCCTGACCCCACCGTCAGCATCAACACTTAGACGGGCTCTTGGCCTCAGTGCAAAACACGCAAGCACCCATGCGTGGAAAGGCCCGTCTTGTGGCTCCAGCAAACAAGAGTGGTTGGCACGGCATGCAGTGGCATAGAGCCCTGTTCTCCCATCCGGCACCTGATGTTGTCAGCGCTGCTAACAGAGCCGCGCTCATGCCGCAACCAGAAACGCCTCGATTCCGTTGACGCGCAGGACCTGGGCAGGACTCCATCACGCTTCTTGAGGTATACAGTAAGCCGACGTGGTAGAAGCCATGTCTCCGCGCCCGCAAGAACAAAAATGCTTCGTCATCCCCTTCGGAAACTTCCTCCTCTGCAACCCAGTCCTGGAAGCTCTGAGTTTTGGCTCATCGCGGTGCAGCGAAAGCAAACAGGCCACGGAGTTCTCTGACGCTGCGAGTCCTCGAAACCAGGCTCCTGTAGATCCGGGACGTAGAGCGAAAGCACCGTGTGCCTCCGTAAAAACGGACCAGGCATGGTCCAAGACAGTCATGCCAATCACCCGAAAATCTGTTTCCTGAAGAAGGTCGTTGTCAAACCCGCTTGGTTTCTGACACCAAACCTCTTTGCAGAACCTGAGGAGGCGGTCCTCTTTTCGGCACTGAGCCTTCGAAAACTCGCCAGCGCCTGCACAAGTCATACATACATTCCTGCATACATGCACACATACATACATACATACATACATACATGCATGGATGCATGCATACATACATACAGACATACATGCTGACATAGATACATACATAGATACATACGTACACCATATGTACGTAAATATATATATATATATATATATATATATATACATACACATGTATACAAGTACATGCACGTACCTATATACATATGCATATTTAGTGTGTACACATATACATATACACATATATACATATGTATGTATATATACATACATACATACATGCATGCACTGCTTGGGTGCATGCATCTAAATATCTGCAACATATGTATATATCTATATCTATATATATATATATATAAATGCATATATATATATACACACACAAGTGTGTGTGTGTGCATATATATGTATATATACATACACCTATACAAAGATATAGACAGCATTGCCTTTTTTACATGTTCATGTATGCCTCCCTGTATACCTTGCACCAGTTACCATATGTATGTATTTATGTATGTATGTATGACTCGTGCAGGCGCTGGCGAGATTTCGAAAGCTCAGTTCTGTGCTTGTGTATTCTTATGCTGACTGGATGTATCTGTTCCCGTTGGCGTACCGATCATCAACAGTCCCAACATTGTCACTATAGCTGTGGCATCAAAAGTGGTAAAAACCGTTGTAGTAGAACCCGAAGCAGAAGCAGACGCAGCTGAAGCAGAAGCAGCAGAAGCAGCAGAAGCAGGAGCCGGAGTGGAAGTAGAAGTAGAAGCGGAAGTCGAAGTAGAAGTAGAATTAGAGGTAGACGTGGAAGTAAAGTCTTATCAGCATCAGTAGTAGCAGCAGGAATAATAGCAGCGGCGTAGCAGCAGTGGAGCAAGAGCAGGAGGAGGAGCAGCAGGAGCAGGAGCAGGAGCAGGAGGAGGAGCAGGAGCAGGAGCAGGAGCAGGAGCAGGAGCAGGAGCAGCAGCGTAGCAGCAGCAGCAGGAGCAGCAGCAGGAGCAGGAGCAGGAGCAGGAGCAGGAGTAGTAGTACTGGTAGTACTAGTAGTACTAGTAGCACTCGTCGTACTGGTAGTACTGGTAATACTAATAGTACTAGTACTAGTAGTGCTGGTAGTACTAGTAGTACAAGTAGTACTTGTAGCGCTAGTAGTACTAGTAGTACTTGTAGGACTAGAAATAGTACTAGTACGAGTAGGACTAGTAGTGCTAATAGTGCTAGTAGTACAGTACTACTTATACGACTCGTACTAGCACTTGTCTAGTACTTGTACTAGTACTAGAACTAGTCATAGTAGTAGTACTACTAGTACTAGTTACAATATGTATGGTACTACTGTGGATGGAGGAAATCTTGCGCCGCTTTTAAGATATGTTATGTAGCTTCACCCCGCACCCCCTTCTTAACATTGCTATGAACACGGAGCTTTACAAAATCGTTCCAATGACATAGACCTTGCACCGCCCCAAGAGATCTGTCGTCAATGTCAGAAAGGGGGCGCGGGGTTGTTGCTTGGATGTGTACTCGAAACAATGTGTGTAGGTGGTGCAAGATTTCCTCCATTCGCCGTAGTATGGTAGTAGCAGCAGTAGCAGGAGTAGTAGTAGTAGTAGTAGCAGCAGTAATAACTAGTCTTAGTTAGTGGCAGCAGTAGCTTCCTCAAGGTTACGAGCACTGAAGTGCTTGGCATCTACATTGGATTGAGAGTGTGGCTGCAGCAGGATTGGAAGAATTAAAAGCATGCACTTTTCCTGGAAAACATCCACTGCGCCGTTACGGGACCCGGGTAACCGAGGGCGCCGACCTTAGGCACAGGACTGGGACACTGAGCAAATCTTCGATACCCTAGACGCACGAGCCCGTTGGTGTTACCACACTGTGTGGGGAATATCTCAGTCTCTACAAATACACATGTACAAACAAGAAGGCACATGTATATGTATATATATAGGCATAAGATGTGAACATAAATATGAACATAAGTGTTTGTATGTGTGATGAGTTGTGTAGTCAAGATGCATGCCCGATGCATGGGTACCTGTGCACAGACGCATATTCACAGACATACAGGTGTGCTTGAATAAAGAAATGTCAACATACAAACATAGCAGGAGAACATTACATGTACATACATGTGTACATCCATATTTACATATATACATGTTCCTTTCAGTTCTTTAGATGCTATACATATACACAAATACATACATACATAAATACATACATACATACACGATACTTCGCCCCACAGAACCGCTTGGAACGTCCGGCCTTCTGGCTGCGCAGCCTCCGGCAGTGAAGCAGAAATTCCTCAGGTGGCTCTTATGATCGCAAAATAGGAGAGGAGACCGAAACCCGGTCTCCCACAGGCAGGCTTGAAGTTGGTGGACAGGTACACACACACATGAATGTGCTGATACATTGATACTCAGCTGGTACACACGACTATGCGTGTTTCTCACATGCAGGCGCAGTGTTGGCGAACAGGCAGGAAGGCTGACAGTCGTAGCGGGTTTGCATTCGTTGTCGCTTCATAGTTTCAAACTGATGCATGAAAGATTGAACTGAATGCAGATACATTCATGTGTGCGTACGTGTGTATCACCAAGGTCCCCTCAACCCCAAAACCCCACACCCGATAAACCCTAAACCTCTAAACCCCAAACCCCAAAGTCCCAAACCCTAAACCCTGTAACTCTAGAAGACCTAACACGTTCCTGTTACCAGGGCTGCCCCTACGGTACAAACCACCGGGTTGGCGTTCTGATAAGTGGGCCTGTTCTTGTTACAAGTTTCTGCTACGGTCGGTGTGTTCCTGTTACGATAAGTACTCACCACTTGGGGCCACAGGACTAATAAGTGGAGAGCTGCGGAGACAAATCTTGATATTGATAGGGTCTAGTATACGGTTTGAAGCAGTTGCCGATGCTAAGATAATAGCCGTGCCCTGTTCCAATCTTTTTTGCATGCTCCCGAGCTGGCGCCTCGCCTCGGGATCGGAAGCCCAGAGGGCGCCAGACGGATCTTCATCCGGGAGATCCTTTCATCGAAGAAGCTTTCCGACATCTCCATGCAGAGGTCCTTGGAGAGACGCCGTCCTCAACCAGGAGGACAGGTTTGTCTTGCACAATCACCTTCGACGGCATCGTCGGCAAGCAAGATTTCGGCAGATATCGGCAAATCGCTTTGGGATGCCTCGCCACGGTCGATGCACTCGTCAGCCACAAGTTGACCTAAAGCCTGCCAGAGCATTCGATCCATTTACATTACATGCCTCTACACTCACAACGAGGGACCAACACCCTCTAAGCATAAGAACCAAGATTCTGCCGAGAGGTTCTTCGTGGTTCTGCAGAACAAACTGTTGCAGTGTGGAGCGCCGAGGTGATGGCGGTGTCATAACTTGTTGCCGCATGCATCATCACAAGTGGGTGTCGGTGGTCCAGGCCTGTCGGGAGGAATCCGAAACTGAGAGCAAGAGGGGGTGACATGCGCTTGTCAAGGATCGTTGCACCGTTCCTGGTCTCATCGAGGACACTCGGCGCCGGGTTGTCTCTGAAGCAGCCACAACTGCCACAGCCTCGGGCATTTTCAAAAGCAGGTTGAGCACACAAAGGACGGACGCATGTGGAATGCTTAACCTGCCCGCTTTGACCTGCGGCCGGCTGCCCCGCTTTCACTGCGTTGCCAAGTCTAGCTGAAGGCTGCGCTGAGCTTCCCTGCAGGCGAGAGCCCTCTGTGAGCCAGGCTGGCATGCTCCAGACGGCATGGGGGACACGCCAAGGTCGCCGATGAGACCGTGACCCTGGACCTGGATCTGCCTCAGAGATTAGGGCAGTTGTGCACCTGGAAACGACGAACAGAAAATGCAAGTAGGCGAAGAGCTGGCCGCTAGCACGCTTGAGACAGAGGCGGAAGACGAGAAGAGTGTATCACATACGACTGGGCTTGCAGAAGTCGCGTCAGACACCGCATCTCCGCAACAAGGGCAACAGAGAGCATCCAAACTAGTGACTGTGCAGCATCGTGAGACGCACCGGAAGCTTGAGCTCACCACATTTACACGAGCCTGATGCCATGCGCACAGGACGCCCTGTCCAGCTAAGGAAACCATACCGACACCAAGTAGGTCAACACTGGTCACTAGGTGGTGAGAAGAAGAAGCTTTTGGTCGCCGTGCAGGATACACGAAGGTAGGTGCTGAATCGGATCTTGGGATCTTGAGACGACGGACGGCGAACCGCAACAATAGGCGTCCACTCTCGGAGATGCCGTGTCTTCGTGCCAAATGCTTGATGCCTTTGCATGTTTGCGTTGAACTCCCTACAGAACACTACGGCTCTACAGGCGAGTCCTGCCAGGAAGCCCTCCCTTGCGAGACCTGCATGTCGAGGAAGTCGTCTGGTGGATTGGCCTGTTTGGCCTTCCCAAGAAAATCTTGGAGACTGATGATGAGGACAATAATAATGAAAGATTGCGATGACGATGAGGATGCTGATGGTCATGATGGCGATGAGCAGCATCGTCTTCATTGTTGCTGATTGGGATGCAAATACAATTACAAACCCGAAAGGATGACTGCCAACGCTAGAGCCGTTGCTCCTGGAAATCTTGTCCTTCTCAACTCTCAACTTACGACACTTCTCCTGCCTGCAGCAAACCCCAGGCCATTCGCTCCTGCTGTGGCAGATGTCTTTGTGCCGGCCACGAAAGCGCAACCAAGTACGCGTCACCGACATTTCAGAAGCATCATCAGAACAATGCAAACGGTTAATAGTGGAGTGGAGTGGAGTGGAGGGACGACCGAGACCCGAAGGCCTGGCCTGTTAGTTAGCAGTGGCATCACCTCCGGCCCGAAGGCTTAAGGATCAAACCACAACGAAAACCGTGAAAAAACATAGGGTCTTAGGGCAGGCGAACCGGGTGGCCAACCGCGCACCCCAGGCGCAAACCGGATCCATCCCGACTCGAGTCTCCATCAGCTCATTGCAGCTCGCGTAACCGTGCACTCCAGGCACGAATCGGGATCCATCCCGACAGAGCTTCCATCAGCTCATTGTCACTTGCGTAACCGCGCACTCCAGGCGCGAACCGGATCCATCCCGCCAGGGCTATCAGCTCATTGCCGATTGCGTAACCGCGCACACCAGGCGCGAACCGGGATCCATCCCGACAGAGCTTCCATCAGCTCATAGCCGCTTGCGTAACTGCGCACTCCAGGCGAGAACCAAAAATCAAGCCCGAACTGCTGTACCATCGACACTTGCGTAACCGCTCACTCCCCGCGTGAAACAGGATCCACTGGTAGCTGTTCCATCAGATCATGTCAAGTGTAGAAGCGCGATCACCAGGTTCGAACCGGGAACCCTCCCGCAAGAAACACGTCAGCCTCCAGCCACGAAGAGACCCAAAATGCCGGCACTGTCGCCCTACTGTGACCCCCACGCCTCCTTGCTGGGTGCTCTTCGGCCTGGAAACAATCCTAGGCCTTAGTGCCGCCCCTGGGGTCCCAGCAAGCACGCCGGCGAAAGGGTTAACAACCACAGCAGGCCCAGGGGCAAACGGTTAATAAAAACCTTAATGCAACATTCAGAAAGTCAGCACTATGTATAAGGATGGTGAGCCTCATGTAACGAGTCTTCGTCATCGCAGCTGTCGTGGTGAGTCGTCATTGTCGTATTAGCAGTCGCTGCAGTCGTGGTAGTCGCAGCAATCGTCATAAATGCATAGAAACCGAGTAGTCGAAGTAGTCATAGTGGCCGTGGTGTCGCAGTAGTCGCGGGAGTGGCATTAGTAGTAGTAGCAGTACTAGTAGTCGTAGTAGAAGTAGTAGTAGTAGTAGTAATAATAGTAGTCGTAGTAGTAGCAGCAGCAGCAGTAGCAGTAGCAGTAGCAGTAGCAGTAGCAGTAGCAGTAGCAGTAGCAGTAGCAGTAGCAGTAGCAGTAGCCGTAGCCGTAGCCGTAGCCGTAGCCGTAGCCGTAGCCGTAGCCGTAGCCGTAGCCGTAGCCGTAGCCGTAGCCGTAGCCGTAGCCGTAGCCGTAGTAGTAGTAGTAGTACTAGTAGTAGTAGTCGTCGTCATAGTAGTGATAGCAGTTGCAGCAGCAGCAGCAGCAGCAGCAGCAGTAGTTGAAGTAGTAGTAGTCGTCGTTGTAGTAGTAGCAGCAGTGGCAGTGGTAGTAGTAGCACCAGCAGGAGTAGCAGAAGTAGTAGTAGTAGTAGTAGTAGTAGTAGTAGTAGTAGTAGGACAAGTAGTAGTAGTGGTAGTAGTAGTAGTAGTCGTCGTAGTAGTAGCAGGAGCAGCAGTAGCACCATTAGTAGTAGTGGCAGTTCGTACTAGTAGCAGTAGCAGTAGTAGGTCGTCGTGATAGTAGTCGTCGTAGTCGTAGTAGTCGTAGTAGTCGTAGTAGTCGTAGTAGTCGTCGTAGTCGTAGTAGTCGTAGTAGTCGTAGTAGTCGTAGTAGTCGTAGTAGTCGCAGTAGTCGTAGTAGTCGTAGTAGTCATAGTAGTCGTAGTGATCGTAGTCGCCGTTGTAGTAGAAGTCGTCGTTGTAGTAGAAGTCGTAGTAGTCTAGTAGCCGTAGTAGTCGTGTACTTATTCTTATACTAATACTGATTCTAATACTGATACCAATACTAATGCTAGTACTGTTAGTACTACTTACTGATACTTCTATTCATACTCTTGCACTTCTACTAAATACCAACATTAGTTCTGAGACTACACAATACCAATACCCATGCGAACTCTAACGTAGTCATTCATTCCCCACGCAGGCGGACGTAATCCACCTAGCGAGAAGCACGGACTCTTGCCGGAGCTCTTATAGAGCTCGATGCTGTGCCCAAGGGCCGCAGCAAATGCCAGATGCAACAGAACAGACGACAATTGCGCATGTTGATATACACATTAACGTCGGAGTCATCCCTATTGCGTGTGGCCAGTGTGTACCTGGCCGTCGCTCTAACGTAGTCGTAGCAGTAGTAGCAGTAGTAGCAGTAGTAGCAGTAGTAGCAGTAGTAGCAGTAATAGCAGTGATAGCAGTAGTAGCAGTAGTAGCAGTCGTAGCAGTAGTAGCAGTAGTAGCAGTAGTAGTCGTGGTGGTGGTAGTAGTAGTAGTAAGCGTAACATTTGTAGTAGTTCAAAATTCGTATTGGTATTGGTATTGATATTAGTATTGGTATTGGTGTTAGTATTTGTATTAGTATTGGTACTGGTATTGGATTGGTATTGGTAGTAGTATCAGTAACGTACTAATACTAGTATAAGTTTTTAGAAATTCTATCAGCGTTGGTGTTAGCATTAGTACTAGTATTTGTATTAATATTAGTATTTCAACTAGTAGTAGAACTGGTACTAGTTAGTGTACGATCATCACTGTTATTGAAAGTATGGCTGCCATGAAGATTATCAATATCATTAGAAATATGTTATTGCTCGCAATGAAAGCAGTAATTCGCACTATCCGACACATTCACATCACGTATATACTTCGTGCTGGTATCGTTAGTATCAAACTTCTGACTAGTATTATCACTGTTTTTAGTATTACTCGTACTATTTGTATTGCTAGTATTATTGGTACAATCAGTCTCGCTTGTATCACTAGTATCATTAATACGGTTGCTAGTAGCATGACTAGGATTATCGATTAATACGTTGTCTTCCTTTAATCGTGTTTGCATCTTTAGTACCTGTTTTGGGAGTAATATGAATACTTGTTGTGGGGGCATATTCAACATTACTTATGCGCGCTTGCGTGTTCAACATTACTAACATCGGTAATGCTGTTAGCAGCATGTATTGTATGCATTGTGGTTTTTGTCTCTATCTTTGGTATTACTGATATAAATGATGAGTATTGCTATTGCTACAGTATTACTATTAGCACGATTTGCAAAAGTAGTGTCAGCAGCACCAGGATCATTGTTCACACTTATAAATGCTAACATTTACACTGGTACTATTCATGCCATGAACAATCTCTTGCCACATGCTTGGATTACTTGTATTGCTCGTATAGAGCTAGCTTTTATCTCGCTGTTGTTCGTTCGTATTCCGTATACTTAGTACGACAAGTTACTGCAAGTTATAAGGAGTATTGGCCACATTATTCGTCTGGTAGGGACGGTATGATTAGTAAAGCTTGCTTACGGCTAGCCAAGGACTTCCGAATGCTGTGAAACACCAAAACCACGCTGCATAAAGCTGACCCCAAGAACCATGCTCTTACTGAGAGGGACTACTTCACACACTGGAAAAAGCACAAAGCTTCGCCAATTCTGCACAACCAAACAAAAGTCAGAGCAGATAGGCCGAAGACCGTACAGGGCGATGTTGCTGTGAGGGGGGTTTCCTGTTGGGACACCTCGCTGTTGCCGGAGTTTCTTGTCGCTGAGAAGATTTTGCGAAAAGGATTTGCTCAGGGTGGCTTGCTGGTAGGATTTGCCACTGCTGGAGAGGCTTCCTTGATGCTGGCAGTGCGGACTCTGAGCAGGGGGGATTACTGCTCAGTCGCTTGCTTCAGGTCCGGGCAAAGCGCAGGACCAGTGCGAAGACAGTCAACGGGAAAGAGCGGGAAGCCGGCTCAGCTGATGTTGTAAATGAAAAATCGTCCCGAACCAAAGACTGTGAGAAAAGACAATCCTAAATGGTATGTGGCATGGCTTTAAACGCCTGAAAACCTAAACCCTAAATCCCAAATCCCTGAGCATCCTCAGCCCGAGACGTCAAACCCTAAACTTTCGTAATCCAAGCGAGGCTTGCTCACTAAACACTGAACCCAAAACCCGAGACCGTCAAGCGCTAAACCGTCAAACCATAAGCCCTAAGTGCTGAATCCCACCACAAAGCAAAAACAAAACCAGCGCATCCATCAACGAGAAGAAAAAGGGGAAGGAAGAAACACCTTCGCCACGAGAAGCTTTACACAAAACGAGCATTATTCAGATTCTTGTGCATTTGAGCACTTGGGGTGCTGAAAGGATCTTGTGTGTTAGTTTCTCTCACCGGCCCCTCATGACCCTCATCAAGCATGACTCTTACACATCCTTTAAGAATACTGGATGTGAGGGCGCTGCTGCAAATAAAAGGAAGTTGGTAGTGAGAGAAAGAACGAGAATCCAAGTGCATCAGGACATGAATGCAATCCATGGAGGTGTGAGTGTTGGGAGCCAAACCAAGCATGGCACAAGAAGCCTGCGCTTGCAGGAAGACAACAGTCAGCAGCATTAGCCGACGTAGTTGCAGTTGTGCTTGTAGGTAATAAAAGCAGTAGTAGCAGTAGTACTAGTAGAAGGAGTAGTAGTAGTAGTAGTAGTAGTAGTAGTAATAGTAGTAGTAGTAGTAGTAGTAGTAGTAGAAGTAGTAGTAGTAATAATAAGAATAATAGTAGTAGTAGTAAAGATAATAATAATAATAGTAGTAGTAGTAGTAATAATAATAATAACCTGCTCCCCAGCAGCTCAGTCCGGGCAAAAGGGGCAACCCAGGGACGCCGCCTGCCACCCCCAGAGCAAGCCCAGCAGCCCCATTCGACCCGCATGCGAGATTCAGAGCCATGGCTGCTTCAGGTGGCAGCGATGTTCCCTTTAATGCCAAGGGACACACGCTTCAGTCGGGCGACGCCTTTGTCGCCATGGGATCTCGCAAGACCCAAAAACCCGGGATACAGACAGACTACAGTGGAGGATTGGACCCGAAACCTTCACACAGCGGCGGATCTGCTCCGCGGCGTGGCTGAAAACATGCAGGCCTACCCGGAGCGCTTCACAGGTGAGTGCCCGTTGGCGCGACCCCGGACATCTTGAAGCAGTGGGGACACGGTTCGCCTAAGTTGCACCACCGTGGCGACAATGTCGATCAGGCTTTAAACCCTGCTACAAGTCTTTTCTCCCCTTTCTCCACTTTTCCGCTGCGCGCGGGCACGGCATTGACTGCCTGCAACAGCTCCTGATTTCTCTTGTCTCAAGAGTGCGGCTCCACCGAGCAGGCGCCGGACCAGACCAAAACAGCTCCCTAGGTCGCTTACTGCAAGGGTACCAAGTCCTTTGATCTGATGCTCTCACGCGCGACGACTACTCGACCTGCTAGTGATGCCTGCCAACACGCATGGGGCAATGTAGGCCGCAGTCCCAACTTCTCATAACAGTCTACCATCTTAGGGCTTCTCAGACCACAGGGTCAGTGAGTCAGTTTCACACCCAAGTGAGTGCACCGCCGCAAACGCCCGCAATGTGCTGAGCTCGCTCGCACAGCGTCCAATTGAAAATAGTAGTGGCAGTGGCAGGGGCAGCGGCAGGTAGTAGTAGTAGTAGTAGTAGTAGTAGTAGTCGTCGTAGTAGCAGTAATCGTAGTAATAGTAGTAGTAGTAGTAGTAGTAGTAGTAGTAGTAGTAGTAGTAGTAGTAGTAGTAGTAGTGGTAGTAGTCGTAGTAGTAATAGTAGTAATACTAGTAGTAGTACTAGCAGTAGTAGCAGGAGTAGTGGCTTTCTGCATGCTCTGTGTTTCACTCGGATATGGGAGGTGTTGCCATGTTTGCAGCAGAGGGCGGTGTTTCAGAGCCGGCTCAGGTACTGGTGACCAGCTCGACGAATGGCTTCCTCGAGTTCATCCACGACTCGATCTCCGTCGATGCTCTCTGACCCTTTCAGGTGTCGTTCGCATATCTGTTTCAGGGCAAAGTCAGAGGGACTTAAGCAGAACTCAATCAGTGCGAAGCCCCCAGACCACATCACTTGCACGGTCCGAGTTGCGAGACCGTGAGCCCTAAACCCTGAACCCTGCATGACATTCCGAGCTTACAGCGTGCAGCCGGCAGGACATACATGGCACACTCACTCGTGCATCGCTCATTTTGGCAGCACGCAGCAGGAGGCGTTGCATGTCGTCCCGTCCGCACCAACAAACAAAAGGTTGCGCGGACGGCGACAGAAACCCCCACTGTTTGAAGGGCGGAGAGGGTGGGTGTCAAAATTCTCAAGGAATCGACACTTCACAAACAGGCAACAACTTAACAACTGCGGCATGCAGCGAACAAGCTCTCCCATGTCATTACGTGCACCCGTGCACTGACACGGCATCGCGACCCTGGGGTTGGCAAATCTCCGCTGTCTAGTCCGGAAAGTTGGTCTTCAAAGTATGCCACGATCTCTGGTTGGACCCTTCTTGCTCCGTATTGGTAATTATTTGTTGTTTGTGTGAGATTGCCTGACCTGAGAACATAGAGTAGTACGAACGCGAACCAGGAGACCTCGTCTGGCTGTGTCCGAGTTGCGAGAGCGTAAACCCTGCCTTGCGGATCCCACTAAGCCCTCTTAGGCCTCCACTTTGGTAGTAGTAGTAGTAGTAGTAGTAGTCGTAGTAGTAGTAGTAGTAGCAGTAGTGGTGAAATTGGTAGTGGTAGTGGTAAGTGGCAAATGGTAAGTGGTAAGTGGTAAGTGGCAGTAGTAGTTGTAGTCGTCGTGGTGGTGGGGGTAGTGAGGAGAAGTAGTAGACACAGAAATGGTAAAAGTAGACTGCTAGTTCCACTACTACTACTGCTACTACTACTACTACGACTACCACTTGCCACTTACCAATACCACTATCACTTCCACTACTACTGCTACCACCACCACTACCACCACCACCACCACCACCACCACCACCGCGAACACCACCACGATTCCGACTAGCAGATACTACTAGTGAGAGTACTAGTAGTGCGAGTGGTGCATTAGGACGTGTAGCACCAGCAGCACTAGTAGCACTAATGCTAGCAACAGTCCTCGTCGTCTTTGGTGTCAAGCATAAGCATCCCAGCAACGGCAGCAGGAGCAGCACAGCAACAGCCGCAGCATGTTCCATAGTAGTGGCAGCGATCGCGGTGGTAGTGGTGCTTGCAAAAAACAAACTATGCGACTCCACGTTGACATCCAGATGATAAGTCATCACTCCATCCAAGCTTACACTCACCCCCACTCATGCCAGCGCGGGCAAAGATCAGCCCTATCCTCTGCTCGTGTGGTCTGCGGACATGTCCTGGTCCATTTCGATGCTCTCCTGTGCCGCCAGCAGCTGGTCTAGCCTTAAGAGACGGGCATCCTCAAAAATGGCCGAGAGTTTGCTGTCCAAGGTCCAGGCAAGCGGTGGTAGGCCTGGAACTCAGCTCCAAAGGGCTGCTCCATGATTCCAAATCAGCTTGATAGATAGTGAGCAAAAGAGTTGCACCTCGATCAGATGTTGCGCCTCTTCTTGCGACCTAGCACATAGACATAGAACTTCAAGACATGACCAAGGGTTCCTTTGTCAAGCCCCGATCTTCTCCAAGGCGCAGGCGAAGGCCTTCGCTCCTCGGGCTTCACGGTCCTTTCCCAATGCTCTCAACACATTAAATAAGCCTTCTGTGAGTGGCATGTTGTGCGAAACTTGGAGTGAGTTTCCGATGGTGCCTAGGAGCGCTAACGCACTTGACCAATGCGTGTCTCCGTGAACTTTGTCCGTGCGAGTCTGTGCAGAAGAAAACTTCTTGTTGAAAGGCTGCATGCTCGACTGTTTGCATGCTCAAGGAGCTTTCGGAGGCTTTGAACGTTGACCGTCGGATGGATGACTTCCCGCGGCGGTGAGGGTGCTCGCAGCAGCCGCGGCTGGGGGAGTGGACACAGCTAGACTGGGACTTCTTGAGCACCAGCAAGTATGCATTCTAGTAAGACATCGGGAGGAAGAGCCTCGGCACCGTCGTCAAGGAGAAAGGATCCGGCATAACCATAGCCTGATGTGTTTGTTCTTCACACTCGTCCCGGATCAAGAAACATCTTGCTCCATCTTTGTGCTGGGCTTGCGTTTTTCTGATTGCTCTTCGTTCTTTGACGAACCGCCGTTTCAGGCAGACTCATGATGAATCGATATGACAGCACTACATTCTACATCGACACCAGACACCGCAATCGATAGCAAATCGCAGCACGATGCTTTCGGGTAGCTGCTCTCAGATAGGGGCTGCAGACAATCCATCTTCGGGATCCATCCTTTGCCCCAAGCAGCTCGAACGCTCCGAGATCACGGCCGTCGGGCCTGAGGGGCCTGAGGGGCCTGGCGAAGGCCCTAAGTCATCAGGTTCCCAGTCACCAGTCGGAGGCGAACCATGCGAGCCATGCGAGCCGGCGGCTCTGCCCGGCTGCAGCATCCGCAAAGGAGCACGGATGCTCACTTTCTTGACATCTGAGCCTTGCTCTGGCCTCATGGAAGGCTCAGAGTCGACTCCCGCTGCCGTCAGCTTCTTGAGGAGACCCTGAAGATTTGCCTCCAGACCCGATTGAATCACTTGCAGCTCTGATGAGAGTTGGGCGAGCTGGCCACACCGAGCCACTGAATCGAGAGCATCCTCCAGAAGCTCTTGGAATGCCTGATCTCGCTGCAACTTCGGCAGCTCCTGGTGACCAGAGCCAGAGCTGACGAGATGATAGCTTTGGCTCCTCTGGCCCCTCTGGCCCCTTTGGCTTTGGCCGAGTGGGCCAAGGGAAGCTGCAGAGCTCCGAGGCTTCGCTTCCAGGTCCACCAGGTCCGCATCCGAGCCCGAGCTGAGCGATGAATCGGAGAGACAGGAGATGTCGTCTTGCCAACCAGCTTTCTGGCTCTCCACGCTCGGATGGACAGAGTCGGGCAAAAGGGCTTCGGAGGAGTGGTACTTCTGATAATTTCCTCTGGCACCCCGTCGCGCTGCTCGCCGAGCTCGCTTCCGCCGTTTCTCTTCTCGCCGCACTTCGTCTCGGGTTTTCAGCAGGTCTTCTAGAAGTATGTCAATGAAGATTGCAGGCACGATGGACACGGAGGAAAGTGATAGAAAAACGAAAACTGCATAGAAGTACAACATGTTCGGATGCACTTCCATCACCGTCTCGACCCTACCAATCCAACCGTCCATGGTCATGATCTTGAACAGAGTCCACATAGTTGCACCCAGGTTGCCGTAGCACGCAGCGACTTCTGCGTCAGGAAAGTCCCACAACATATTTGTGGCACAAACGCTAAGCACGAGCAGCGACGCCAATATCACCACCAAAAAGTTAAACATCTGCTCGACAGCCATGTGTGACACCCTGCTGAAGTCCTCCACGAACTTGCTGGGCCCCAGTAGCGGAACTAAGCTGACAATCCGTACAAGGCGTACGATGCGCACAACACGCACCGCAGCAAGTGCATGAACAAATCTTCCCTCGAAGGTGTCCAGGAACATATCCAAGACACTGACGAAATTCAACACGAGATCGCACATATTCCAGTTCGCATCTGTGTCTTCCATATCCACGAAGAAGAACTGTCGCAAACTCTCTGAATACGATGTGTTTCGCTCCTGGGCATACAAGTAGAATCCATAACCTTGCAGTGTGCAGAATGTGATGGCGAAAACTGCTTGTGCCAAATTCGACAACAGCCTGATGCTTCCATTGGATATGTAACATGCCTCAAGAAATGTAAAAGCCACACTCAGGCCGATGGCCCACACCGTTAGCTGGTCGTGAAAATCAAGGTCTTCCCAAACCTCAACTCTCCTTTTTCCTCGCTTGGGGGACCTGTGACGCGGCTCGGAGTGCGAGGTTGCAACTGGTCTCATGTGCCGTGACAGTGCGGACACGTCGAAGTCCGAAAAGGGAAGTAGGAGGCACTTGACGCTTTGGTCCAGAACAGCTGCGCAGCTGGCAACTGGAGTGCAGAAGTGAAGAGCCTTAGCAGCAAGACTTGCAGAGCAGATCGGCCAGCCTGCAGAAGCTCTGCATTCAGACGGGGTACCCCAATTCAGACGTGCATGTATGAATAAATCCGAAAATGAACAGTTTGGCTGGAGACTACGCTAAGTCCCTTAGCGGCCGAGATCGAAACAATCAAAAGGAGAGTTCGCCCTCGACATTCAATGCCACAACACCTCAACTAGAAGGAGACAACGGCTCAAGCAGCTTCCCGAAACGGTTTCTCCTGCAAAAAGCCATACCCCTCCGGCCCCTGCGACAGTGGAAAACCTCCAAGCTGGCTCGTGGAGCAGACCGGGACAACGCGGCGGTCGGAAGGACACCACACGGGAGACCCACGTGGAGGCCCGCGTGAGCAGCGTGTCGGGAGAAAAATCGCAAGGCAGGCGAGCGCAAGGCAGGCGAGTGCAAGGCAGGGCACCGATACCGAGAAAGGGGCAGTGACGTGCCAATTATGGTTGGTGAAAGCAGGCTCAGAACTTTACTGGCAAAGGTTCCTTCTCCTAGATTTTCAGAAAGTTTCAAGCTTTCGTTCCACACACCTGATGGAAACACCCGCTGTGTAATCATTGGACTCAAAAATCATACTCTGCAGCTGTCTGCTGTATCTCAGCTCGTGCCACCGAAAGAACTTGACAAGAATAAAGCTGCAGGATGGACACGTGAGGGGGCAGACTAGTTCGAGAAACCTGCCGAATGAAGAGTACAACCCACACTAATCTAAAGACTCACGGTCATGAAGTCAAAACAAATCTCACACCGACGGAATCCAAGCATGGCGGGAGGGCCAAGTCCGGAAACGCCTGCAAAAGAGAAGGCGGCACAGCCAAAGCAGCTGCAGTGCCTGTCAAGCTCGTTGCGGCTTTGCTTGCTATACGCTTCTGCACGTAATGCCATCGACCTTCACTGCCTTGTGCAGTGGAACCGCTGTTCGGTGCCTGTGCTCAAAACAACACTTGTTGATGTCCTGTAAAATGCAACAAACCCCGCCTGCACGTTCCGGAGCACACGAAGACCAACCTCTTACCGCAGGAAATGAAAGGATGAGTCGATGATGGGCATCGAATTGTCTTTCACAGGTTGCCTGCAAAGATGCCTGCCCTTTGGCCTGTGCATCCTGCATACCACCATGACACTTGGACTGACAGCCACTACGGTGCAACCCTGATGCAGAGCTCCGCCGTCCTGCAACTGCAGGCTTCCCTCGAAACTTCCGTCAGCGAAACTTCTGGAGGGAATCTCCACACATCCCAACCTGACCGCACCAAGAAAGCCAAACAAGTTGATATTGGAACCCTATCGCTGGGAATCGTAGATCTGCACGTCAGATTCGCCTACTGCCACTTTGAAAGCTATGGCTTGGCTCCATAGCTAATAATTACTCAGGATCGGGCACTTCATCCTTCAGACCGTTGTCGAAATCGTAGATGGTGACTTTGACCACCCCATTTCGGGCAACAGTCCTCAACCACGCTGGAGAAAACAACACCGGATCACGAAACAGCAACGAATGGTGTCTCCTAATTCACACGAATCGCTCGATTGTCCAAGGCTCAATGTTCCTGTCTCTTCCCAAACGGGATTCCTTGGATGGGAAGCAGCATCAGCGTCACTTAAGACCTCGAGCCTGCCCACAAACACACAAACACCTGACATATAGCGGACGCAATACCAAGGTACACAGTGCGCTGCAAGGTTTTTGTCTGGAACCGACTTTGGGATCCCAGCGCTTCGACAACCTCAAATGCAGACATATCAACACGGCTCACGGCCTGTGTTCCACAGCATCGTTGACACAAATCGAGACATGTGCACAATAAGGATCTGTTGCTCCAGCATGACTTGTTTCGCGCAGACCTGTCCACATTTATCAATGCTACAGCTTGTGCACAAGAAAACTGAAGTTTGATAGTTGCCGCCTTGCGCAGACTTGATGGTTACCTCCAGTTCTTGTGCCGGGGCCTGGCGATGCAAGCATCTCACCGGGATACAACACAGTCGTGCTGTTTCAACCACCTCACGATGCGTTTACCGGCCTTTGCATCAGAGGAACCCACAATCATCCGACGAGCACTCAGCTCCAGGGTGGCGTTCGAAAAAGCGTCATGCGTTCATTTCACCTCAACTTGGAAGATGTTTCCAATTCAAAACGACAATTTAGCTTCGACAAGAAAATCTCGAGTTTTGCGATGTCTACACCGTGAAATGCATGTGGCAGCGGTTGAGCTGCCGGCGAGAAACACACAATCAGCATGTGGTCAAATGACTCGCAAAAAGACGTCGTATCTCCATGGCAACAGACATCGGATGCTACTAGACATCTGCTTGACAAATGCGAAGTCCTCAGTCCGCGAAGGGTGTTTGCACAGCTACACTTCATGACTCTGGCAAGTTTTGTGTGCTGGGTCAAGAAAAAGGAAACTGACGCTTCGTTAGTCTAGCAGACTTGAGCCATTCGTCGACTGCTGAAACGTGCTTTGCGTTGACAACCAAAGCATTCAAATCATGCCGTGTGAAGTCCAATCTGGGTCCGCGCTCGCAAGCCGCGCGCAAATGAATACAAACGTCTTTTCCAACACACAAAAACGAGAAGCAAGCCGAAATCGTTTGAAAGGGGTAAAAATGTTCAAAGCGAAGGAAGTTAAAAAAAAAAACACATAACTGAGCCGCTCCAACCCTCCCGCTATCTTAAGCCGCGAACGCCGTTCCCCCCCGCTAACCTTGCTCTCTTAAGTCGCGAAGGAAAATAACAACGTCTTCAAGCGAAGAAGAACTCGTGGCGGGAAAGTCCTCTTTGACATCTGCAAAAGTGGTGCCGCGACATCTTGAAATAAAACGACGAAACCCAGACCTCCTTCTGAACCGACCTTGAAGGCCATGATACTGCGTGCGTGGCATCTGTCAGAGTGTGTGCCAGAAGTCTGCAAGACCTTGATTTGGTCAGACCTTGATCGTGTAATGCACTCTTCTTGGAAGGTGGCAAACAGTATCAGTTCCCCATTGTCGGAGAGGGAGTCATAAAGCGATCCATTTCAGCCACCCGCATGGCAGATTGGAGCCTGGGGGGGCGGAGGTTCCGTGATTCAGCCGGAAGTAGGTAAGCTTGGCTCCGAACCACATCTTCTCGTGTGGCCGGCAACTGCTCAGCTCTTCAAACATCAGCTTGTAAAATCCTGTTTCCATTTCTCTGCTCTTTGTACGCATGATGGGAAATGATGGATTTCGAAAAGAAATATGAGAAAAGATTCCAATTGAACTCGAATTCGATTCTACAAGATTTCGCCATCAATTAGGGCATGGAATTGGAGTAAGAGCTCATGAAGAAGTCAAGAATCAAGAGTTTTGGCGTGCTTCGGGTTTGAGCATTGAAAGCTCCAATTCCCAAAACCCAAATCCCAACCCCAACTCCACATTAGAAGCTTGGACAATCTTTTCCCGCGGTGTCTCGTCGTCGGTATTAGCCGCACTCGGTCCAGCCAGCACTAAGCGAAGATTACCTGACAAACTCGAAGACAATTGGCCCGAAAGCATCATCAGCGAAGAGTGTTGCGCTACGTCATAGACTCCAGTGTATAGGATCATAGAGTCACCGAGTCAAAAGCACGGAGTCACAGAGTCGGAGTGTCACATACAGTCAAGAGTCGTACAAGTCATAGTTCATAGAGTCATAGAGGCATAGTCGAGTACATGTCAAGCACAAGTCATAGTTCAAAGAGTCATAGAGTCATAGAGTCACAGTGAGATAGAATCATAGAGTCATAATGTTATAGAGTCATAGCGTCAGAGTGAGAAAAAGTCATAGACATAGAGTCATGGAGTCATCTATGTACTATGCACTTGACTCGATGTAGTTCACTCTATGAACAGCAATGTTCAGGTTTAGCGGGTTTAGGGTAGAGTCCAGCATGACGCAGAAGTCGTCTTTTCCTACGTCCGGATCCTCACTATATAGACATCCCTGATTACTGTGGTTTCAATGTGACTCTATGACTCTATGCATGGCCACTTTACGTCGCAGCAGGTTCTGCTAAGGAAAAAACGTTACCCTAAACCAAATCCTAAACCCTAAACCCGAGAACGGAAAATAAATGCAATCCGTACTCGGTCCACTCGTTTTTCGATGGGATCGCAAAGATCAGCTGTGCCGGGCATTGAAACGGGTTGACCCGAGAATGCCATCTGTGGGGTGGCGACTGTTGCACCACCCCACGAACAAAAGTTCTACGAGCGAAGCTAGAACACGTGAGTGACGGCTTCGGACTGAGGGAACGACCAGAGGGGTCTTCCGGGACTGAGCAGTCCACACTAAAGCAGAGGCTACAGGCAGGAGTCGATCTGCAGACTACAGCGGTGAAACGATGTGGGGCCATTGGCGGGCCCAGAAGAAGCACCAAAGGAAAGTGGTGCGGCAGCGGCGCACTGCCCTAAGCACCAGCATGGTGAAGTAATGGCGACCCGAAGGGCTGAGGAAGCACAATCAAGGTGCCGGCGGCAGGATGGCAGGAGTGCCACACAAGATGCAAGTCGAATATGCGAGGAAGGATAGCTAGCACGTTCCACAAGGTGCCGGGCCTAGCGGAGGCCGGCGTGCACACAAGCGAAGCAGGGTGGGTCGGGCGGGAAAACAAAAATTGCGAAGCGACTTCGCCGCAACTTGATCCAAAATGGAATGCAAAGAGACCACTGCATTTCCAGACATGTGCTGCTGACGCGGCACTGGCAAAAACGAATAAAGGAAAACTTTCCAGTTTCGCACGGGGAAAGGCAACCGTTTTTCCATTTGCAAAGCATCAGTGGACAAGTCCACAAGTACGTTCTGCTAAGGAAACAACGTTACCCTAAACCAAATCCTAAACCCTAAACCCGAGAACGGAAAATAAATGCAATCCGTACTCGGTCCACTCGTTTTTCGATGGGATCGCAAAGATCAGCTGTGCCGGGCATTGAAACGGGTTGACCCGAGAATGCCATCTGTGGGGTGGCGACTGTTGCACCACCCCACGAACAAAAGTTCTACGAGCGAAGCTAGAACACGTGAGTGACGGCTTCGGACTGAGGGAACGACCAGAGGGGTCTTCCGGGACTGAGCAGTCCACACTAAAGCAGAGGCTACAGGCAGGAGTCGATCTGCAGACTACAGCGGTGAAACGATGTGGGGCCATTGGCGGGCCCAGAAGAAGCACCAAAGGAAAGTGGTGCGGCAGCGGCGCACTGCCCTAAGCACCAGCATGGTGAAGTAATGGCGACCCGAAGGGCTGAGGAAGCACAATCAAGGTGCCGGCGGCAGGATGGCAGGAGTGCCACACAAGATGCAAGTCGAATATGCGAGGAAGGATAGCACGTTCCACAAGGTGCCGGGCCTAGCGGAGGCCGGCGTGCACACAAGCGAAGCAGGGTGGGTCGGGCGGGAAATCAAAAATTGCGAAGCGACTTCGCCGCAACTTGATCCAAAATGGAATGCAAAGAGACCACTGCATTTCCAGACATGCGCTGCTGACGCGGCACTGGCAAAAACGAATAAAGGAAAACTTTCCAGTTTCGCAAGGGGAAAGGCAACCGTTTTTCCATTTGCAAAACATCAGTGGACAAGTCCACAAGTACGTTCTGCTAAGGAAAAAACGTTACCCTAAACCAAACCCTAAACCCTAAACCCGAGAACGGAAAATGAATGCAATCCGTACTCGGTCCACTCGTTTTTCGATGGGATCGCAAAGATCAGCTGTGCCGGGCACGGAAACGGGTTGACCCGAGAATGCCATCTGTGGGGTGGCGACTGTTGCACCACCCCACGAACAAAAGTTCTACGAGCGAAGCTAGAACACGTGAGTGACGGCTTCGGACTGAGGGAACGACCAGAGGGGTCTTCCGCGACTGAGCAGTCCACACTAAAGCAGAGGCTACAGGCAGGAGTCGATCTGCAGACTACGGCGGTGAAACGATGTGGGGCCATTGGCGGACCCAGAAGAAGCACCAAAGGAAAGTGATGGGCTTCACAACTGGCGATCTCCTTAGCCAAGTCATTGCCGAAGGGAATGCCTGCAGCTTCAAAGTCATGAACCGAAAAGGTTTCCGTGAACCAAACCTGGCCTAGAACCGGACAGGAAACAAAACCCCCCAAAGTGCAAGATGGGCCGGATGCCGATGCATCGGCGAAGGCTTCAACGTCTGCGACCTGTAACAGGCGCATGCTGGCAAGTGGTGCAACGTGTTGCAACCAACGCTCGAAGGCCTGCAACGAACGGATGGATGCATTCGAGAGTTTCCGCCCCCTGCACAGCCACCGCTCCAGGTTCCAGGTGCTCCCTCGACACCCAAGCAGCGAGAGCCTCAGTCGTGTCTGCAATGTGCGGTTCAGGCCATACCGGCATCTTCTAAACTGCCGCTGGGATGCAAACTGTGGGGGAAGCGCTCCACATCAGGCTTTTTTCTCTCGCACAAGCTTCGGGCGGCACGCCCCTTGTCACCGCCGGAAGGCGCTTGGCGTGCTGATATTTGCAGCTCATCCCTCCCGGCACGCATTTTCCTCGAGATCACCTGGCACAATCATTCGAACCATCAGCTCAACATGGCGGTCCGTGCTTCAGGTGGCAATTCCCTCACCTTAAACCCCAGCCTTGACCCTGCCCTGGATGTCCTTTGCACGGACCTCCTTGAGTCCTTGAGCAGGTCCTGTTCCTTTGCGGATCGGAAGCTGTTGCGTACCTGGCAGCATCGCCCCTGACCGAGTCAGAGTTCTCCCCAAGCCACACAGGTTCCTCCTCGTGGCTGCTGTCGGCCATGCACGAGCAAACGGCAGCGGCGAAGGTGTCCCGCTGCACCTGGCTTCTCAGCATTGTACACACTGCCGGGGGTCAAGGGCATCTGGAATTGCCTCCCTCTTCTTCTTACTGGTCTTCTGAGCGCCCCCAAGCCTGGGTGTGTCAGGGCTGCTGCGCTCTTGTCTTGGTGCCTCCATTGCTGCATTCGGGTTCGGCCACTTCGGACCAACCCCAGCTTTGGGCCGCGTCTTACCGCCCGCTGTCCGTCCTGGCGGCCAAATCGTCCGCTCCTGCGCTCCCACAAA